CCCCAAAACCCCAAAACCCCAAAACCCCAAAACCCCAGCATATAAGATTTCAGATGAATTAATTATAAATATGGTAAAAGGCATCCTGGCAAAAGCGTCCGGTTTCGTGACTGACAGAATAAAAGGCTTCGATATGTAAGCATTCAATGTTGTTTCAGGAGGGAATTAAGCTATAGGTATCCCACATCCATCAACTTCACATTCAATGGCCAAGAGTAAGTGAGATTAAATCGTAATTTGTGATGAACAAGAGAGAAATATGTTCTGGTCATCAAGAAACTAGGCTACCTAGGAGCTTGATCTTATCTATGATTTAGAGAGTTCAAGACTTTGATTGGAGGAGTAGTTTCAATAGTGATCAAAGTCATCATTATTCTCTACTCTTATCTCATGCTCAGAATTATGATTGGTAAGTGTTCTGGAATTTTTGGCTTTGGCTATTTTTATTCAATCTGAATAGAAAGAAAATAATACTCAAAAAAGTGTGAATACTGTTGTAACAGGTAAGACTCTTGCTCATTTTTAGATATTTTAAATGATAAATCACCTGTGCATCTCAAGTATTTATCAAACTTATTTGTAGCACTTCGGATTTTTCATTTGCTTTCAATGGGATCATAGAAGGAGACAACTCATTTGACTTACTCGATAACCCATATGTATCGGTTGAGCTATTCCAGTGGGTCAAGAACACAAGTAAGATAAAATTAGCTGAGATGGAATATACCTTCTCTTTAGCAAAGCTAGGAAATATCTGATCTTCCATCTAGCAACTGGAGGCTTTGATAGCACTGATATTCCGATGGTTAAATGTGAAAAGACCTTTTTCAAATTCTATAATCAGACAGAGGTACACTTTGTAAATTATTGTAGGTTGAAAAGCTTGGGATTGAAGACTATATTTGTCCTCAGAACAGGAACTTCCTTATCCAAGGGAATAGCTTGTCTGAAGACTTTCTATTTCTTGAGCTAAATATTGACAAATGAAAGACAGGTTGCCCTGCTGATTTAGACACTGTACTCAGCAAAATTAGGATGGAAATACCATTTGTTAATACTTACTTCAACTTTGATGACTTCAATAGCCCAGTGAAGACCTATATCGATGGAAGGCTTACCTTCGACCTGCTCCCTGGCTACCTCATCCGGAATGATGTTTTCATTCAGTAAGAGTTTGGGCATAATCTTCAGGAAAAACGAAGCAGAGTATTTAGACAGTTACTTCGCATATCAGCCAGGAGGGACTAAGAAAGAGTTTGTTGGGGTCGACAGAGTTGACCAAAGACTAGCTGTCCAGCACGATTCAGTGAGCGAAACAATTTTTAGTAAAAGAGAATGATGACTTTAGAAATGCAATTCGTCAAGGATGAAGCCACCAAGTCTTTTGAAAGGACAGTGTTTAGTTTCATGGAAGCCTTTGGAAATATCGGAGGGCTTTTTGAAATTATGGAAATCGCAGGAGGGTTCTTTGTTGGAGTTTTTTCAGGCAGAATGTTCTTATTTACGATCCTGTCACATCTCTATCAGATTGAAGCACCTGATGATAGAGAAGGTTAGTCAAAAATAATATTTTTTTAAATATCTTTTAATTTTTTCATTTTTGGTATTCGTATTGTTCTGAAACAAAGGAATAAGATTTTTAATCAAATATTATTTATAGAAATTAATCATCGTTCCAAAAGTATCAGAATGACAGGTATCTCATTAGAAACTTACTGAAGCCATTAAGCATGGATACTCATCATGATTAAAATCCCCATCTCCTAAAATGTCGGAAATGTTCTCTCCTTTATCATCAGAAAATTTTGAATCCTGATATTTAGGTTAATTTCTTCACTTTCGTGAGCTTTAATATAATGAATACTAAAAAGACCTTGATAAGTCAATGAACCCGAGGATGCTTCATCCGATCATATCTCTACTTCTCCTCTCCCGATGTAGATGTTTCATCAAGAAAGTTTCCTTCGTTTTGGCTTTCTGATAAGTTTAGGAAATATCCAGATAGAAAATAAAAGTTTTCAAATTTTAAAAGTACTTAATTTTATCTTTGAAAAGCAGAAGCTGACTTGTCTAGGTGCTAAAATGGTACCGCGCTTAGATACGCACAAATTTGTATTATAAGCAAGGATTTTGTAGCAACTCTTGTCAGATACTAAGAGCAGAGTATTCCTACCATCCTTTGTCCATTATTTGCATTTTTAGGAAAAATTATGGGTTTAGAAATTCATTATTTATCAGAAAATTTCGAAGAGTGAAATTACCATAAATCCACTATAAATCTGGATATTTCTAAAATTCGTATTCAGATATTAAAATATTATTTTATACATTTTTTATTTGAATACTTCCATATCAAGGAAAAGAGCTTATTAAGTACCATTTACTATCAATACGGTTTATCAAACTTTTAATGATTTAGGGCAAAACATAGATTCAGTAAGTCGTAGACTCTCATATTTAGAGTCGAAATTTGTCACTAAAGGACAGTCCTATGCAGCACCAGAATTTAATATCAAAACAAAAGATGATTGAGAAAGCTCATCAAAGAATGAGAAGTTTAGTTAGGTACGACTATTCCTTCATGGACTTCCTCTTCTCCATCCTCAACAACATACCCTGCTTGTTTGTGTGTTGTTGTCGAAGCAAAAACAGACTGCATCTGAAGAAGAGGAACTCTTTGTACAACAAAGGTGGAGACAAATTTATCAAAGAGTTCGATGCCGTCCGCTACGCAAAGTCTATGCGTGAGGTACAGACGCTACTCAAGTCCATGATAGATGACAAAGAGCGGTTCATAATACCATATCAGAAGTGTAACAGTATCGCAATGCATTCAGAAAGCGATAGTGGTAATGAAGACGACAACTATGCCAAGGTCCCTAAGATGTTTGCAAAATCGAAGATAAAAGAGCTCCACAGGGCAGAAGTGGATGAATTCATGGTAAGCCCCTCTCTAAACTTCAGGAGGAATATTCTAAAGAGAATTGGTCAGACAGAGACTATCGACTTGTAAATGGAGTTATTGCTTCGACTAATATAGCAGGTAATGCTCTCCCATTCATCCCCATAGACGCAGATTTAGCAAAGGTGGTACCTCAGACAAGAGAGAACAGTAAGTTATCTTCTTTTGGCACTTGTTAACTCCAAGTTTTATCTAAGAGGTTGATTTACAATTATATAGGAAAGCATGAACATCAAGAAATCGAATTTGAAGATATAAACCCTAATATTGAGTTTGAGTAAGCTTTATAATTCCTACCATATTTCAACCTCTAGGGAATCTAAAATCATGCCCCCTGAGTTTCATGTTGGCAAGAAGATCAAGCCTCCCCTCACAAAGGACCTAAGTTTCCCTGAAATGGATTAGAATGAATATCCAGTGGAAAATAATATCTCAATGTTGGTGAAGAAGGCTGGGGTTTTGGGGTTTTGGGGTTTTGGGGTTTTGGGGG